ACCCACCTGCATGCCCTCAAGCTGCTCTCTTCTGAGCTGACTAACGCAGTTTTCACAATCAGTGCTGTGCTCCAGCACCAATTATTCAACTGATCTCATTAAAATTGATTCACTTCAAATCTGTGTTACTGAATGCTTATTTGCTTGGTAGGGTCGTTAGAGCAATCTATCTCCACACGTTGGTATCTGAATACGCACACTATGCATTGTGGAATCGCAAATCACATAATCTGGATCTGTTTCATTGCAGCAAAAGCAAACGAAGTCAAGGTACAAATGACCGCAGATGTCTGCGTCTCAATCCGGTGAACCTAGCAAACACATCGCCAAGGACAGACGTCTCTCTAAATTTCAACCTCGATGGCACAGCGGGTGTGATGCGTCGCCTCAAACTCACTCCAAGTCTTTTGGCGACGGGACGATCGGGAACACGCTTGACAGCGAGCAGTACGGTGAGGAACAAATAGAACCACTTGACCTGAGTGTTCGACACAAGCCTCCTCCAGCTACTACCTCTGGAGCTCCATCGGGTAAATTTTGCTTTCTGCACGATGATTAATGCGGCACCTCACACATTATTTACGTAGCAGTCACTTAACTCAAACTTTGCTTTATAATACTGGAATCGTGTTTCGCCAAAAAAATATCACTGATCTGCCTCCAATTGTTTTATTTTTTTAAATATAGCCTATCATTTTCAAATTGATCCGATCCAAATCTTAAACGCATGATGTTCTTGACATGAAATGCAATTTATTGATGAACCACGGTAAAGCTTCCATTGTTTTTGTAACTTGGATGTTGAATGTCGGCTGCAATTTCCACAACGCATTATCCTAATCGTCACATGTAGTGGATTGTATGCAATTGTTGGCCTGCAATCAACAGAAAAACTATCAGCCTTTCACAGCATGCCTGGCCTATCATAAATGTACATCGGGTGGTTTTATCACTGAGAAGATGGATTGAGTTCTTTGTCTACGCTATTTGTAGCTTGAATCTATTAAAACAGTAAAAGGTTTGCACGTGGATCACACACGAATTACCATCTTTGTTTTTTAGCTTACCTTCACGAGACCAATGCAAACCTCCTCTTTCCCATCCTACTGCAACCACTAGGAACCCGTGTACAGACGCATCTGACTAAGTTCCATGAGTTTGCAGTGAAAGTGTGCATGCAAATCGACTCGAAAATTCACGATTTCGCCGCAACTCGCGACACCCAGCATGCCTCAACTTTTTCAGTCCAATACTCCATCGACGACTGCACCTTCGAGTCGACTTCGATACCTGGAACGAGGAAACGAAAATTTAGGCGTTTCTCAGACGATCAAATTTGGGAGCTGGAAAATCGGTATTATAAAAATAACAAAATCTCTCTTAGCGAATGCGACGAATTGGGTGGACGCTTGGGTCTCAGTGGTTCGCAGGTAATGTAATTGCGTAAAATTTTAGTCGAACCAGGGCATTCATGCTTACGAGTGCTATTTGCACAACAGTTGTTTTGCCTGAGCAAATAAATCGTTGGACTGATGTGATAAATAATTAGGAGCTGATAGTCAAGTTGCAGATGTGGTGTCTCGATGTCTCAATCTGTGTTCATGTCGTTGGTGAGAAGCGACTTGGTTCACCATGTCTGTTTGAATAAGCCCGTAGACGCGCAACTGACTGGTTGACTGAATAAATGGTTTGTGTAGTTAGGGGAGTGCTACAGGGTGAGGGTGTGTGGAAACCCACAATACCGGAATGTTAATTTGTCAGTGGATGAGGCATGGGGTGGATTCGTGCAGCTGAGTCACAAACATGAAATTAAAAAACTTTAACGGGTTTTATCGCTATTTGTTATTTGAGTAAGCTCACCAATAAAACATCAGACGAAGCATTTAGCGACAGAATGTCAATTTGCGGCGAGGCTTGATGTGTCAATTCAATGGCTGGATGTTCGCTAAACCGCGTTCGTGTAGTGGTTGGGGGTGGCATTGATAAGGGTAGGGGGTCAAACAGATAATTTTGTAGGTGTAAAGCCCCATTGTAGCTAAGTAATTAGTAAGAGCGCCCTAATTTGGAATTCGGCGGAGGAAAATGAAAAGGCGTGGATTGATCTCTGTTTGAAATTCATTGTAGGTGAGGGATTGGTTCAAACGTCGTCGAAAGAAAGTAAGAGTGTCCAAACATCAGTGACTTACACAGCCATTATCAGCTTGATGCTGCTAGTTCCGCAATTTTAGTGTCAACGATGTCGAA